GAGCCGGGCCGACACATCCGGGAAGTAGCGATATAGTTCCCTACCATTCTTCTCTTCATCCCAATCCCTCTGCCATAACTCAATCATCTCATCCCTAACTCTACGTCTGAGCACCCTGACCTCAGCCGCGGTCCGACCTCGCGCTCTCGATCTACCTTACCTGCCACCATCACCTCCATGTGAGCCGGCAGCACCCCGGCAAGAACCGGTAGCCGCCGTGCTCACGGTCCCAGTAGGCCTTGGTCAGTAACGCCAAGGCTGGCCTCTGTGTCTTCAGCAGGGCACTGCGTACTACGTGCAGATTTGCACGCTCGTACCAGCACCCCGCCACGTACGTCAGGGTAGTCAGGTATGTCGCTGAATAAATTGTCTTGAGGGAAGAGTACCATTCCCCACGATGCGGCCGACACTCGACACCTTGCCGAAGCTCTTCGACGCCCTTCGCCAATACTTTGCGCATGTTGCGCAAAGAGAGGTGCTCGTCCAAGACCAGACCCAGCACAGTGGCCGCGGAAACGGTCCGATAGAGTCGCCACCCATCCTGACGATCGGCGGTCTCTGCAGCCGGCCCTTTACCGTCATGGTGCACGACTTCGCCGGGGCAAAGCCAACCGGTTACGCCGGCCCCAATCTTGCATCAGGTCCAAGGCTTGCGCGGACCGCCGCTCGATCTCGGCACGTGATGACGCTCCACCAAAACCGTCACATCGTCCGCATAGGCCACGGTCTTAACACCGGCCGGGAATGGGAGCCGCAGCAAGTCGTCCAACAGCACGTTCCACAACGCAGGGCCCAGGACAGAGCCCTGGGGCACCCCATTGTGGACCTTCCACACGACTTCGGCGCCAACGAGGAACCCCACCCTGCGGTCCGTAAAATAGTCCGTTAGAGTCTGTATAGGTTAGGCGGGAACCCACCCCGCTTAACCTTCGTCAAACATGGGCCACCACGCATTGTCGAAAGCTCCGGAGATGTCAGGGAATATCAGCTGCACGTATTTGGCAGCAGACCCCTCGACACCCCAGGATATCGTTTAGCGCGGTGGAAGTCGATCGTCCCGGAACGAAGCCGTGCTGGTTTCCACTGATGCCGCCGCGCAGTCCCGGTGCAAGCTCCAACAGAATCTTCTCTAGGATCTTCTTCTAGGGACTTCGTTGCCGACCACCGACGCGTGCGGACGTGCTTTCGGCTACCGAAGCGAGTTATTTACGTGCATTTCGCATGCTTCGAGTTTATTCAGTGCAAGCAGTGTTTTGTGTTTTGCCAAACGCCCCCAAAAGTCGTCCTGTCCTATTTCTTCCTACGCTCACTAAACGGCTTAGCGCCGCCCAGTGGGCGTGGTAGAGCGGGACAGACGCGCGGCCTGAATCGTGCCGTGATTGGCGGAATCGGTCTCGGCCGATTCTCGCTTTCGCAAGGGCATCCATGAGTGGGTTCCGCCCCGGCTGTTAGTGAGTGAGAAGCCCATAGTGTAGTGTTGTAGTGACGCCCACTTTCGCGTCATCGCGTCAGTGGGCATAGTGAAAGTGGGCTGCAGTGCTGCAGTGTGTCCGACGCCATCGGCTGTGGGCGTGGCCTGCGCGGTTTGACGTCACTGTGACGTCACCGAGGCGGGCGACCCTGTCGGCGGAGACGCCGTGCAGCGCTGCAACGAGACAATTAGCGATAAGTCTAGTCGATAAGAGAGATAGAGACTCTAAGAGAGTAGTATTTAAGAGTAAAATAAGATAACATAGGAATCATAGGATTAATTTTACTTCTTTTGTTTTTCTTTTGTTTTTCTGTTTGTTGTTTTTGGGTGTTTCTCCCCATATTAGCTCGGCCGTGTTCTTAACATGGCAGACAGGAGAAATCGGCGGTTTTCACGCCGCGGCAATCGTTGTGTCGCACGCCCCTAGCGGGATAACCATATTAGAAGATGCCGACGGGCTCCGCGACGGCAAGCGCCCGCGCGAGAGCCCGGGTGAAGAAAACCTGGCGGCGAAGCCCCGTCTAGAGACGGAGAGCGACAGCGAGCAAGTAGCCGCTGCGCCGCATTACGGAGGAAAAGAGGAGATGATGCGTACGGTGCATGACTCCGTGAAGGCGATCTCGGCGCTGGTAGCCGGCCCGGGATCCAAACTTAACAAAGCGGACATCAGCAGCGTCGCGGCCTACGGCCACGAGATATTGGCGGTTGTCGCGGCGTTGAACCTGCGGTTGGCTGAGGCGGAGCTCCAGGTGGCGCAGGCGAAGTTGGAAGCGGCGAGGGCAAGCCGAGTGGCGGCGGTGTCGGGCGGATCGGAAGCGGTTGTGACCGCTCAGCCGCGGTCATATGCGTCGGCTCTGCGCTTACCAGGACGCGAACGAGCTGACATAAGAAAACCCGAGAGCGGACCGGTGCTTGCGATCTACCCGGTTGCCGAGCAGATCGACAACATCAAGACGGCGGAAGAGACGAAAACGCTCTTGAAGAACGCCATCAACCCGGCCAGCATGCAGGTCCAGGTTACAAAAGTGCGCAAGGTCGGTCGTGCGGGCGTGGTAGTACAAACCACGTCTGCCGAATCGGCGGAGAAAATTCGAAGGCGGTCCCGCCCACGCTGCGGGTGACGGAGCCTAGAAGCAGGAAGCCACGTGGCTCTAAGAAATATGATGGGTGATCCGTCGAGCGAAGCCGTTCTGACCGGCTTGTACGAACAAAATTCAGAGTCAGGGATCCAAAGTGGACCCTCGATAGATTAGCAAAAGAGTGCCGAGTTGCTTTCAAAAATCCCGTCGAGCGGCCGATAACGACGGTTGTATTAGAGTGCAGCCCAGAATTGCGCGATTTACTGGTGTCGCTGGATCGCGTTTTATCGGCTGGGAGGCGGTACCAGTCTGTGACTTCATTGATGTAACATGTTGTCACGCCAACAATATGGTCACCCGGCGGCTCACCGCCGCTCCAAGGACACTGTGCGGCAAATGTGGCGAAATAGGGCACAAGACAGAAGAATGTAAGGCTACAGTGGCTGTGCGACATGCCACAGATTTGGGCGACGTGACGCCGAGGCTCACAGGACGGCGTCGAGGGATTGCCCAGCACGAAAGTTCGCGGAAGAGCGATACGTATCCGTCACCCGATATGGATAAGCGTGGCGGACTACGTGTCGGGCAGATTAACCTGGGCGGCTCCGTAGTAGCCACGCGCGAACTACCCGAGACGGCACGGCGGCTGGGACTGGATTTAGTGCTGGTGCAGGAGCAGTACACATCGGCCGACAACATTATTCAGACCGGAACTACTCCCAAGGCTGGGATAATGGTAACACGGACAAATCTAACTCTGACTGCACTGGCGCACCTATCCACCCAGCACTGTATGGTAGCGCATGTTGGCCCAAGTGACTTATATGTGATCTCTGGCTACTTTCAATACAGTGACCGAATAGACCCATACCTAGAGCACCTAGGTTCTGTGCTGAACGCGCTGCGAGGAAAGCGAGTCATCGTCGGAGTTGACTCGAACGTGCATTCGCCGATGTGGCACTGCGAACGTCGCCAATACACAGGTCGTGGAGCAGAAGCTGAACATAGGCGACAACAAATGGAGTGTTTTATAGCCGAACGGAGCCTTATGCTCCATAACTGCGAGGGTCAGCCAGCGACGTTCGCGGGTGCCCGCGGCGAGTCCAACATCGACCTAACTTTATCTACACGCGGAGTCGCAGTGAATGACTGGAGTGTTCTGGAGGACGCTAGCGTCAGCGATCACCGGCTAATAGTCTACAGAGTTGATGGCGTAGTCAGATCCGCCACGTGCGCGGAACCAATGGAAGAGCCTGTGCGATTCCGGGACCGTGGAGTAGACTGGGACGTATTCGAACGTACTGTACAAATGAGGGTTGGTCGCATTCGGTGGGGCGCCCCCGCTGCGAAGGTGGCGGGTCGTTCACTGATGTGATCATACGGTCTGCGCGAGAATGTCTGGGAGTAATACGGCCAAGGTCGTTTTACGGGTACGAGTGGTGGAACGAGGAGTTAAACAGAATGAGAGGTGAGACTGCCAAAAAGAGGAAAGTCTGGCAGAGAACGAAAGCTAGAGGAGGGGACCGTGAACTGGAGGCGAGATTGGTCTACCTTAGGGCTAGGCGGCGTACCGCAGAAGGATGCGAGAAATACAAACAGCTTATTTCAGGCAAATTGCGGAGAGTGGCAATGTGGACCCTGGGGTATTGCCTATCGGGCGGCCTCGGCGATGTAGAGCCCCGCAATGTGGTCAACGGTTTGGCGCTGTCGGAGGGCTTCGCGACGGACACGGCGGGTGCTATGTCCGGAATGCTCGAGCCCGTGCCCGGATGACTGTCCGGCGGGCGATTCCGGTATCATAGGCTGGTCAGGGTTGCGGCGATTCTGGTCCCTCCGGTAAGGATGCGGGGCCCGTGAGTAGTCTGGTGCTGGGGAAGATAGTCGGGTCTTTACCCAACACTGCCCTGGGTCTAGATGGTATCAGTTCACGAATAGTCAAGCATGTTTGGAAAGCGGTACAGCAGGAATTTTGTGAGGTGATCAATAGGTGCGTGAAAGATGGTGTGTTCCCAGGTGTATGGAAGAGCGGGCGCCTGCTTGTTATTCCCAAAGGGAATGGCAGGCCGGTGTCGGATCCCAAAGCTTATCGTCCGATCACCCTACTCGGTTTTAGGAAGATCCCAGAGAAGATTCTGTTGAGCTTGCACTGACCGCGGCGGCATCAGTGGAAACCAGCACGGCTTCGTTCCGGGACGATCGACTTCCACCGCGCTAAACGATATCCTGGGGTGTCGAGGGGTCTGCTGCCAAATACGTGCAGCTGATATTCTTGACATCTCCGGAGCTGACAATGCGTGGTGGCCCATGGTTTTGACGAAGGTTAAGCGGGGTGGGTTCCCGCCTAACCTATACAGACTCCTAACGGACTATTTTACGGACCGCAGGGTGGGGTTCCTCGTTGGCACCGAAGTCGTGTGGAAGAGGTCCACAATGGGGTGCCCCCAGGGCTCTCTCAACGACTCGCACACATGCTAGACTCCTTGGTCCGTGTTTCAAGACGGGTCCTGCGAGTGCCCGAAACCGAATCATCGCAGACGGATACGCGCACGGTCAGAGACTACACGGCGGCCGTATCGATGCAGGCGCGCAGCGTCGAGGTCCGCACTCGGGCGGAACCTCGAACGCGACGACGCCTCGCGTCGGGCCTGACGCGCCTAAGCGCGTGCGCGTTTCGTATTCATACCGTCCGATTGGAAGGCCGGTCGGCCACCGTCGCGGTCCGACGACCGAGTTAAGGTCGCCGGGCTCCCGAACGGCGCTCAGACCGACCTCGAACGGGTCGCGATGCCTTACTGAGAGAGAGTGCACGTCCCCGGCGACGATACGCACGATCCGCGCCCGCCGACACGGCCCCGAAAGACCGAGATCGACGGACGTCCGGGACGACCGTACGCACGCAGCACGGAAACGAACGTTGAATCTCTCCGTTCGTTCATTCGAGTTTCGCAGGTTTACCCTGAACGGTTTCACGTACTCTTGAACTCTCTCTTCAAAGTTCTTTTCAACTTTCCTCACGGTACTTGTTCGCTATCGGTCTCGCGGTGATATTTAGCCTTAGATGGAGTTTACCACCCGCTTAGGGCTGCACTCAAGCAACCCGACTCTGAGGAGAGTCCCTCGCCGCCGCGCTCCGTCTCTACGGGCCTGGCACCCTCTACGGGAAAGCGGCCCCGTTCAAGACGAACTTGGACAGGAGACCCGACGACGAGAAAGCGGAACCTCCCGAACACCACATGTCGCGCGACCGTTACGATCGCGCGATTCGGCGCTGGGCTCTTTCCTGTTCGCTCGCCGCTACTAAGGAAATCCTGGTTAGTTTTTCCTCCGCTTACTAATATGCTTAAATTCGGCGGGTGATCCTCCTGATCTGAGGCCGACGATATGGTGCGAGGCAGACTCGATATCCGTCCGCGCGACGACGCGCGCGCTTCGACGTCGAGTCCGCCTACGGCGGATATATCGTTACGAAAATTTCAAGATCGCGCCGCGCACATCGCACCCGTCGTATCATCGATCCGTCGTTTCGACTACGACACCGAACTCCCTTACGTGGAGTCGGATCTCTGCCGAGACGCGAATACGAAGACGACGCGCGCGACGTTTGTGTGCGCGCGGCGTAATCGAGATTCGTACGAATAATATATTTAAACGGACGACACGTAAAACAATCTCTACCTAATACATCTCTTCGCTTGGAGGAGACGAGAAGGCCGAGAGAAACGCGTCGACGCCGTCAATTGTCGAACGGCACACGCGCACGGGAGAGCGCGAGCGCGTTCGCAATGTGGCCTTTTGTTATATACGGCCGGCCCTCAGACAGGAGTGGTCCTGGATGTGTCTCCACGGACCGCAATGTGCGTTCGAAATGTCGATGTTCAAATGTGTCCTGCAGTTCACACTATGACGCGCAGTTAACTGCGTTCTTCATCGACCCGCGAGCCAAGTGATCCACCGTCCAGGGTAGTTATTTTTTTATTTAATAATAAAATCTCTCTCGTATAAATGATAAAGAATATATATATAAATAAGGATGAGATTAGAAATTTTTTCGTCGCGGCCACGACTCCGGAGAGTATCTCATCACCTCTCCCATCTACGTCGCGTGGCGGCCGCGACGAGCGAGTAAATCGATAATTGTTCGGATTATATAGATGTATTTATAATATATATCGCTATAAACGATATACATCATTAACACGTTAATGATCCTTCCGCAGGTTCCCCTACGGAAACCTTGTTACGACTTTTACTCTAAATGATCAAGTTTGGTCAACTTCCCAGCGACGCCGACGGCCGATAGAGCCACCGCGTGTCGGTCCGAAGACCTCACTAAATCATTCAATCGGTAGTAGCGACGGGCGGTGTGTACAAAGGGCAGGGACGTAATCAACGCGAGCTTATGACTCGCGCTTACTAGGAATTCCTCGTTTATGGGGGATAATTGCAAACCCCAATCCCCAGCACGAAGGAGTTTCAGAGGGTTGCCCGGCCTCTAGGCCAGGGAGAACATGCTGATTCCTTCAGTGTAGCGCGCGTGCGGCCCAGGACATCTAAGGGCATCACAGACCTGTTATTGCTCAATCTCGTGCGGCTCGAAGCCGCCGGTCCCTCTAAGAAGATTTTAATAACGCCGCCAGTGAGCCGCGCGACGCGAACGCCGCGCACACCGGAATGACGACGCCTATTTAGCAGGCTAGAGTCTCGTTCGTTACCGGAATTAACCAGACAAATCGCTCCACCAACTAAGAACGGCCATGCACCACCACCCACCGAATCAAGAAAGAGCTGTTAATCTGTCAATCCTTCCGGTGTCCGGGCCTGGTGAGATTTCCCGTGTTGAGTCAAATTAAGCCGCAGGCTCCACTCCTGGTGGTGCCCTTCCGTCAATTCCTTTAAGTTTCAGCTTTGCAACCATACTCCCCCCGGAGTCCAAAATCTTTGGTTTCCGGAAGCTGCCCGCCGAGCCGTTGTGTTAACGTCGGCGGATCGCTAGACGACATATTTACGGTTAGAACTAGGGCGGTATCTAATCGCCTTCGAACCTCTAACTTTCGTTCTTGATTGATGAAAACACCTTTGGCAAATGCTTTCGCTGATGTTCGTCTTGCGACGATCCAAGAATTTCACCTCTAACGTCGCAATACGAATGCCCCCAGTTATCCCTATTAATCATTACCTCGGAGTTCTGAAAACCAACAAAATAGAACCGAGATCATATTCCATTATTCCATGCACGAAATATTCAAGCAGCGTTCATAGCCCGCTTTGAGCACTCTAATTTGTTCAAAGTAAAATTGTCGGCCCATCTCGTCACTCGTTTAAGAGCAACGCGATAGGATTTTGAAGATTGAACCGCCGAGTACCGATACGAGACCGGCCCCGGAACGGTTCACCGACGATATGCTCCGCAGGCGTGTCAGTTGCACCGCGGTGCGGTGCACCGACAGCGCGGCGCACAAATGCAACTACGAGCTTTTAACCGCAACAATTTTAGTATACGCTATTGAGCTGGAATTACCGCGGCTGCTGGCACCAGACTTGCCCTCCAATTGTTCCTCGTTAAAATATTTAAAGTGTACTCATTCCGATTACGAGGCCTCGTAAGAGTCCCGTATCGTTATTTTTCGTCACTACCTCCCCGTGCCGGGGTGGGTAATTTGCGCGCCTGCTGCCTTCCTTGGATGTGGTAGCCGTTTCTCAGGCTCCCTCTCCGGAATCGAACCCTGATTCCCCGTTACCCGTGACAACCATGGTAGTCGCAGAAACTACCATCGAAAGTTGATAAGGCAGACATTTGAAAGATGCGTCGCCGGTACTGGACCGTGCGATCGGCGAAAGTTATCCAGATTCATCAAAATGAACGACATCGGACGCGAGGCCCTCCGTCGATTGGTTTTGATCTAATAAAAGCACTCATTCCATCACTGGTCAGAGTTCCGATTGCATGTATTAGCTCTAGAATTACCACAGTTATCCAAGTAACCTGTGTAAGATCTAAGGAACCAAAACTGATATATTGAGCCATTCGCGGTATCGCCTTAATACGGCTTGCACTGAGACATGCATGGCTTAGTCTTTGAGACAAGCATATAACTACTGGCAGGATCAACCAGGGAGCTATCGCACGCTAACACGAACCGCCGCGCCGTCCCCAAAAGGACGGCGGCGAACGTTCTCATACGAGCGGTGCGTTGACTGCTCTCTTTATATAATTTTCATCTCCTGTCGGAGAATCGGACGACGATCAGAGACCGCGTCCAAAATTTGATATTTCACCGAAACAATCGCGTATTTATTGAAAATAACGCATATTGTATATTATTATATGATACTTTGTCCAGTCGTCTTATAGGGATTCATTCGAATCCCGTTCAACGTCGGCATTATAGAGTTGGTCACGATAATATTTTTCGTTGGACATCGTCTCGCAATACGAAAGCGCAAACGACAACAGTTATAGTCCGTCCGTATTATAGACAAACTTAAAAGTTGTATCTGTTCGCACTAATATACTCGAACGATGTTCATGAAAAGTATAATATTCTATATATTAATACTTTGTAAATTTAAAGCGTCGATATAAAAAGTTTTAAACGGCACAACTGATACCGTCGACGCACACCGTGCAAGCGGCACACGGAACGCCGGCGGGCCGTACAGTGACTCGCCGCGCTGCCGTGTGCTCACATATAGCTGAACTAGCCGGAGTGAGAAAGCGACGATCCATACAAACTCTGACGAAAATATTGAAATTTTGATAGCCGCCTCGCATCTCGCCCGATGGTCGTGTATCGTGATATTATCGATCCGCGAATCGAAATAAAGTATTTTTTATATTGCGCCCCCCGCCCTCCTGGCCGCCCCCCCCCTGCCCCCCCGCGCCCCGTAACTTCGGGCAATTTTTTTTTATTTTATTACATTCAATCGTTAGTTCTATTTAAAAATGTAATAAGTAATAATAGTGATTACATATACCATTACGTTCTTATTATTATCATTATAATAATAATAATAATAGTAATAATAATAATAATAATGATGATGATGACGATTATTAATATATATATATATATATATATATATAAACCGGTCAAGTGCGAGTCCGGACTCGTACGTGAAGGGTTCCGTACCTCGATTAAATGTTTTGAAAGTAGCCTAAGTCTCACTAATAGGGTAAAAATAATGTATTTAAATTATAAATAATTTATATTTTTCATTCAACGACAAAAAGCACATTAGAGAAATAATATATAATGATATTTTATAATGTTCGAATAGTTTTTTTTTTTGTTTTCTCTTTTCTTTTACTGTATTATCTAATATATAATAGGGGGTTGGGGAAATGAAATGAAACTATAGTCAGGTATCCTATTATATTTTAACGACAAAAATAATGCTAAATGCATAATGACTGTCCTGACGACGGATCGCGTCCTCGTAGACGGTAAAACGATGCCGCAGTACGTACCGGTTTCCGCGCACGTTGGAACTCTTCTTCGACTAAGAACGGCCCAGACTTGAGACTTGGCGTACGGCCGTCGCTTATCATCGTTCGGCTGGCCGTAGAACTAAACACGATGTTGCGGTGAAAGTTTCTATTTCTATAAACAAATATTATCTATAAATAAAATGAAAAATATACAATAGACGATGATACTCTTAAAACTATACAATAAACAAATGATAGTCGAAGATAGTTGAAACCTGACGATAAATTGTCAGTCAGACTTCGGCATCATCGGCTCTCGTCATAGACGGACGCTTGTCGAACTCACTTATCCTGTCTTATCTCTATCTATAATATTTTCCTATTTAAAATCAGTTATTTTAGATAGAACATCTCATCGATACTCGGTCCCTCCTTGTCTCGCAACGGGACCCTGCCGTAAGACCGACCGCTACCCACCTCCTGTTAGAGCGGGAAGCAGATAGCTGCCGGTGGCTTACGGCGGACGGACGCTGCCCGTTGGCTGCATTATGCGGGAAATCGGTGTGTCCGACGTGTTTGACAGCGCCCACGGGCGTAGACTATGTAGACTCCGCCTTCGGTCGCGCCTCTCCCGGTTGAGGTGAAGGCGGTATATACGCTGCACGCACCGATCTGCAAGTGAACATTGACTTATTAATATGTATACCTAATAATAGTTCGGTAACGTGAGCAACAATTAAAATTGTATAGATATTGCGTTCTGTGACGTAGGTTAAGTGGCTCATACCGCATAAGTAAGTTACCGTCTAAATAATACAAAACGATTTAACATTTATTGTAAACTAAATAGAATAAACTACCTATAGCTAGGTATAGTTTTTATGGGCGCATATATATACACACGTCTTTCTGCTTGATTTTTCCACTGTTCTAGTTCCAGTCGCCTCCGGCGTTTTATTTTATCGTTTTGTAATTATTATTTAAATAAATCATAATGAATTCAATTCAATTTAATTAAATGAATCAAATTTTATTGCAGGTGTTCGATCCGTTTTTGCAAATTTTGCACACTGTTTATACCGTTATTATTTTGGAGTATTATTACATTATAAAGTTCAGATGACAGACAGTTCGAAGAAATATTTGAACACTTACCGACCGTCGATCATGTCGACGTTGTTTCAAAATTAAAATAGTCAGATGGCAACATTATCTAATAATAATAATAATTCATTTATAAAAACAAAAGCAATAATAATTTTTTTAGTGTTGTCGATGCCGGTGGAGCAAGCAATTCATTTCACATCTATGAAATTATAAAAAAAATATGTGGAGTGATTGTGAGATTTTTTTCCTTTCTAAAAAGGAAGGCGAACGTCTTAACAACTTGAGTGCCCATAACGCCTCGGGGCGTGAGACGAGACGAAGAGAGGATGCCCATCACGCCTCTGCGCGTGATGGGTTAGTACAGCATTCTATGCGCCAGTGTGCCGTGGGCCTATGTCGGAGAGCGTTGTATCGCACGGGCATCGCGCGCAA